CAGTGGACGTTCAAAAGGCTGAAATGATGGTATGATGGTGTCATTATATTTTGGTTTTAGTTGGTGGGATGTATGGTTTAAATGTCGATCTCCTAGTCAAATATTTTTGCTAGGTCGATCTCCCCAATAAAAAGTATGGGCACACCCCTGCCATATATTGATTTATTACTGGATACTTAACACGATTTTTTGAGCTTAACAATATTAGTCTAATTAATTACCATCGATACAATAATTTATTATAATGATTTCTATTAATTTATTTTCAAGATTAGTATTTTAATTATATACACAGAGATTCATATTTAATTTATAGGCTATTGGCATATCAGCAGGATATATTCTACTCTCGATCTGGATAGTTATTCGTTACGAAAACAACTGATTTCATTAATATTGTTCTTTTACGAAGCATGATAAAATTTTTTGTTTCTATCCCCAAATAAGGTAAACTATCTTGCGAAATCTTACAAGGTATTGCAATTGTTTCTTTAGGTTCTTTTATCCAAAAATATTTCTTTTTATTACCAGCTATGCATCTATCATAAACGTTCTTTTCTCTATATAACTGGGAATTATCCACGTTTTCATTATTGATAATCTTGTAGTAGTTTGTGTAACCTTTTGTGACATCCATACTTAAAATGATCGTGTCATTTTTATCGGTGGTTATCGCAAGAGTATTATTTTTAGTATTAATGGCTTTGAAGCAGTAAATTTTGTAGTATCTGTCATTGTAATAGTGGATTTTTGAGCATGTTCCTTCGGTGATTACTACTGTAAAAAATAGACAGAACATAGACAGTTGCAAATCTTATGAGTATAAAGACTATAAAGAAGAAATAACCAAAACGTAATGGTGAAGAGAGCAAAAACGGAACAAAAACTTAAATATAAAAATTTTATACTAATAAAAACAAAAAGTACTTTGTAGTGATTGTATTATTTGGATTTTAATAATTAAAATACATTCTCATGATTTTCTAGCAATGTTTAAAAAATGGGTAACTTTTAATATTATATTTTACTTACCTTGAGCTGTAGCTTCTTTTAAATAAATTAAGGTTACAATAGTTGCAAAAAACAAATTTTTAATTGCCATTATCTACGTCTCTCTCTAAAATAAGTAAAATTTCGATTTTTTTCGGTATAATATGGCTTTTTGGATCTTTTTAAACTCACTGGGTCAAGAGGGCGAAAATTAATCAAAATAAGAAAATAAACAATGCTGTTATTGATAAATTTTTAATTACAGGATGAACCAATGTGCATATTTTAAATTCGTCTAATTTATAATTTTAAAAATCATTTCCCGATTTAAAAAAAAATGTTTTTTTTATATCTAATACTAAATAACTAGTATAGAAACAAAGAAACACCATTGGTTTCGAAAACTTTTCAAATAGTAAAGATTTTCTTATTGTTAATTAAAGTTCCAAAAATCTCCTACTTTTAAGAGCAAAGGTAATTTCTCTATTGCTTCCAATAAAAAGTTTTTCAACTTCTACATTTTGAAAAAAGTTTGATTGAAATCGGAGGAAAATTAAAGTATATATGGATTTTATCTGCTATTAATATCCACGTCAAATTTAATTTTGTCGCCATTTTTTCAATAACAAACATTAGTTTTTGCAAAATAGGCAGAATACCGTTTTAAATAGGCTTTTAAATTCAGTGTTGTTAATAGTTTTTTAATAATTAAAATCGCTAGGTAAATGCTTATCTTAATCGCATCGAAAAAAAAAAAAAAAATGATAGTAGGTCTTGAAAATTGAATATTTTCTTGAAGGTCTATCAAAAAAAAGTTTTCTTGATATCGGACACAAAAATAAACATTTTATATTCTAAATGGGTCACACTGTATAACAGTAATTTTAGCCCGATCTACTGTTGTAATTTAACCAGGGGAGATAGTAAAAAAAAAGAAACGAGGAATCCAATGTTTCCCAAAAAGTATCACTATCTACCCCTGAATTGATTTCTCTCAGGGAAATGGGTAAAATAAAAAATACAATATCATGAATTTAATTTTATAGATTGGGTCGTTATCTAGTTGGTATTGGACTAAGTAGGAATAAAAGCTATAACAGATAAGAAATATGTGAAAAGTTTTAAGTTGAATAGTGAGGCCATATATAACTAATTTAGGTATTAAATGTCAAAAAGCAATTTGAAAATAAAAACATATTAATAATATATCAACCCATATCTTAATAGTTTAAGAGTGACTAAGAAAGTGAATATGAGGAAAATTAATTAAATAGTGTGGTACTTACATAGTAAAAAGACGTGACAAATTAGACTAAAAAGGGGGACATCCGGCTAAGCCGACTATTGAGATCTTGATGAGGGCTTCAATGTGGTTTTAAATATTGAAAATCCAAATTCAAGATCAGTGTGCCAAGATATGCGTTCTGTTCACCGTACTAGATGGGGGTGCAAAGACTTTGATTTGTGTAAGGGCCGATTCCACCGTTGTGTTAAACGAAGTTTAAATTGCTAAATGAAGATTAAAATGGCATCTTTTTACAGCACATGTTCTTTAAAAGGTCCTGGTTTTTATAAAAAAATATAAGCTAAGGCTTTTTTTTAGAAGCTAGGTAGAAAGACCAGAGGTTAACTATGAGGACCGTTTTTTTAGAAGCTCGACAAAAATATATTTATGCATAGTTTTTCTACAAAATAAAAGTGTACGGTATTGGGAGGCTATTTACGGTAATTTTAATTGTGCGGTACGGTAAATGGAATTTAAAAAGTTGGCAATCCTACTCCTCTAGTAGTTTGTGTAGCATCTTGTGACATTCATATTTAAACTGATCGTGTCATTTTTATCGGTGGTTAACGTAGGGGTATTATTATTAATAGTGGCTTTGAAGTTTTTAATATATTTTTATTAATTTACGATGATTTTCGATTTATCTAGACAGGCGTTCGTAATTTATTATCCAAAGAATTCTATTCTCGGTCTGGATAATTGTTCTGTACGTAAACAAGTTCATGTTGTATAGGTATTAACATTAACTTAATCAGCATAATGAAATTTCCTGTTTTAATCCCTAAATAAGGTCTAAACGATTTCGAAACCTCACATGGTATTGCAACCGTTTCTTCAGGATTTTTGAACCAAAAGAATTCCTTTTCATTAACAGCTAAGCATTGATCAAAAATTATGTTTTCTTTGTATATAAGGAAATTACCAATGTTTCCATTATTCATAACTTTGTATTTGTTTGTGTTTCTTGTGACATCTATATCTAAAGTGATCGTGTCATTTTTATCAGTCGTTATCGATAAAGTATTGTTATTATTACTGATAGTTTTGAAGCAGTATATTTTGTAGTAACTGTCATCGAAGTAGTAGATTTTTGAGCATGTTCCATTGGTGATTGTTACTGTAAAAAAATTTTAAAATTATAAACAGTTATGCGTCACATATATTTACTAATCTTATTACTGTTAATAAAATTGGTTTCTTAATGTAATCACCCTTTAAAATATCCTAAATGCATCTTCTACGTTTATGTTTAAATACAACTCCTCGTTTGCATTTAAACACTAACGAATTATAAAACAGAATCTGACCAATAATTGAACCTTAATCAGTTATAGCACAAATTATACACATTTACCTACACTATTAGGTACAGGGTAACGTAAACAAGAAGAAAAAAATAGTACTATTCTTTATCTCTCTATTATCATAACGTATTTCACTAATGACGTGCAATTTTAGTTGTTCAGGCTGTTACAAAGATTTGAAATGATTATATAAGAAATATATCGAATTATAGAAAAATAAAAAAAATTGTATATTTTAACGCCAAATAATAACAAAAATGTTCAAATACAGTATCATCCAATAAAAGAACAATAATTATAATTTTACACTAAGGACGAAAGTAGTGATGGGTTGAGGAAGGTCTATTGATATTTGTCAAAGAAATTAAAGATACCTCTTTGTTCTAGTGCCCTTTTTGAGTGCTCTTTTTAAAAAAAGGACACTCCAAAAATTTGCACATGAGGAAGTTTGTATTTTGAAAAAAGATTTCTAATTTTTTTATCCAACATTTTGTTTAAGCAACACTTTTTCAACCATTTATTCAACCAACATTTGTTCATTGCAATATATTTTCGTTTAAAACTTTTTCAACTATAATTTTTTTATTCAATTCTTTTTATCCAAATTTTTTTTCACCCAACATTTTTTTCATTCGATATTTTTCATCAAACATTTTTATCCAACATTTTTTTCTTCCATTTCTTCATGCAAAATTTATTTTTGATTGAAAATTTTTTTCATATATTTATTTTTCATGCAAAACTTTTTCATCCAACCTTTTTTCATTCAACATTTTGTCATCTAAAGGTTTTTCAACGAAACTTTTTTTAACCAACATTTTTTCATCCAACATTTTTTTATGCAACATTTCTTTGTCCGACATTTTTTTATTTAACATATTTTCATTTTTTTTTTCATCACATTTTTCATACAAAATTATTTAGTTCAAAATTTTTTCATCCAACATTTTTTAATTTAATATTTTATCATCCAAATATTTTTCATTAATTTTTTTTTCACGCAACATTCTTTCAAACATTTTTTCATCCAACGTTTTTTCATTCAATTTTTTTCATCTAACATTTTTTCATCCAACATTCACGAAACAGTGTTTTCTTTAATTTTTTATTTTAAACCGGCACTTATCCGGAATTGAACCAGAACTGACTTAAAACTGATCTAGAACTTATCCAGAATTGATCCAGAACTGATCCGAAACTGATCCAGAATTGATTCAGAACTGATGCAAAACTTATCTAGAACTGATACAAATTTTTTTATCCCAATTTTTCATCAGATTCTTTCATATAAAATTATTTCGTTTAAAATTTATAATAAATATGTCATCCGACTATATCATCCTAAATTTTAAACAGTTCCTCATGATTTTCTAGTAATGTTTACAAAAAGGGGTTACTTATAATATTATTCATTCACTTACTATCAGTTGTAGCTTCTTTTAAACAAATTGACAATAAAACAGTAGCTAAAAATAACTTTTTAATTGCCATATTTTCATCAAATATCTACGACTTTCACTAAAATAAGTATAATTTTGATTTTTCAGTTTAAAATTAATGTTTTGATATTTGTTGGGTCAAGAGGGCGAAAATTAATCAGCATAAAGAATTGCTTTTATTGATAAAATTTAAATTACAGGGTAAACCATCCTGCATTTTATTGAATTTCGAATTCACATAATTTATAATTTTTTAAACTATCATTTACACAATTTAAAATAATTTACATAAACTTTATCTCAATTTAGGTGTATTAAAATTATCTTAAATGACTCACCTGCTATTATTTATACATTTTATACGAAGAAACCCAATCAGAAATCATTAGTAAGTTATCAACAATTAGATTAATAATTCATCTTAGTATGAACAAGGTAATTAATTTATTACATTCATAGAGAAGGTGATGCAAAATATTATCAGTTATTATAGCAGAAATAAAAAAAACTATGATTATACAAATTCATATATTGGTCTTAAACAAAAGAAAGCATTACATTACTACATGTTACATACTTACTCTCTGTATATTTCTTTTAGTATATTTTGTTTCTTGAAATTAATTTTTAAAGTTTTTAACTATCTTTTTTAATTTAAAATAACAAATTATGCAAAATCTCTTGTATTCTATTTTTAGTATTTGTATCACAATGACTGCCGCGCAAAATTTTCGAGATTTGCAGTCTACCATTTCTGTCACGGCTTTTCAACTAAACTAATGGGTGTATCTTATAGTGGTACCCGATGTGATTTTTAAATAACTTGACAACCAGGTGACAGATCGCCATGTTTGTTAATGTTTTAGAAACGTCATAAAAGACGACAGAAAACCAGTACCAAATTTGCATGGAGCAAACGGTCTGGTAAACACCACTGAGGAGAAAGCCGAGGCCTTCGCCACTTCCTTAGAATCTCAGTGTTTTAACAACGAACACGAAGATGAAGAACTTGACTTCACTGAAGAAGTGGAAGAGGACTTCGAGAATGAACCCGAAATAGGATACCTTGAGCCCTCATCTCCGGACGAGGTGAGAGGCATTATCAAGCACCCATCTGCCAAGAAAGCCCCCGGCAGGGACAAAATCTCCATCCGAGCGATTAAACACTTCCCGCTGAAAGCCACAGTCTACCTTACAGCCATCATTAACGGGATTTTAAGTACTTCCCTAGACTGTGGAAACAAGCGGAAGTGATTATGATATGGAAACCCAACAAGGATCCCAAATTTCCACAAGAAAGAGTCATCTTTAGAAGACTAAGAGAACAAACAAGGGATCTGAACATCATCACTGACGAGCAATTCGGATTCAGAAAGGAATACTCGACCGAACTGCAAGTCCTAAGACTCGTCGAAGGAATCACTAAAGGATTCAACAGAAATAAGTCTACAGGTACCATATTCTTAGATGTCGCCAAGGCATTCGACAGAGTATGGCACGCCGGGCTGATTTTCAAAATGAAAGAACAAGGGTTTACAGCAGGAATGACAGGGCTGCTCAGGTCGTACCTCGGCGGAAGGCAGTTACGGATCAAGATGGGAGTCCTATCAAGACCTGGAATTCCAGAAGCAGGAGTACCTCACGGGGCGGTACTGTCACCACTGTTGTACACCATATACACTGCAGACATCCCAAAATACTACCATGTCCCTCTACGCGGACGACACAGCAATATCAGCCAGGACTCATATCAAGATATCTACAAGACGCAGCGGAAGACATAGAAGAATGGTGCATTAGATGGAAGATAAAGAAAAACGCAGAGAAGACACAGGCTGTGCTGTTCAAGAAGAGACACCACCCCCCAGGAGAAGAAGTAACGATGAATGGACAGGACATCCCATGGACCGATTCAGTTAGGTACCTAGGAGTAATCATGGATAAAGGACTCACCTTCACTAAATACGTGGACATGGTGGCGTAAAAGCAAATTATTATTACAGACAAAAATGAGGCTCATGCACGCGGTTATTATACCTATCCTCATGTACGCATCGACGGTATGGGGACACACCTGTAGAACAAACAGAAAGAAGATCCAAAGCCAGCAGAACATCAGCTTAAGATGGGCCTCAAACGCATACAGATTCACTAGAAATGACGTTATCAGGAGGGATCTAGAATCCAAAAGGGTCCTAGACCTCATACACAAGAAGGTCCTAGACCTCATACACAAGAAGGCCACAGACACCTTCGAAAAACTAAGAACTCACCCGGATATAGAGATCAGAGAACTCACAGATTACGAAAAAGTGGATTATAGAAGACTATGGCGGCGAGTGACCGACCCTTGGGTGTAAAATTCAAGAGTCTCATAGATTTAAGATTTTCTTCCAGCGTTCTCTTTCAGTATTCTTTTAAAATACCCGATAGAGCGCATCACGCGAATCAGACAAGGACTGAGCAACTGACGACTAACCACCTGGGGGAGAAGGTCTCTCCAGTCGCCAAGTAGGAGACTGGCGGGAGCTTTCATCACAGGTAGCGACTTTCACAGAACGGCACACACATGACAAATAAACGGACGACCAAACAGGGAAATGCCCTCAGCAAATCCTGTCCAAATTCTGATAATATGTCATCCTTCACAGCCCTTTTAGAAGGAATGGCTTACCAATCATAGGATAGAAAATTGAGGCCCCCTGAAGCGAAGTTTATCAGGGGGGGAGGTGGTCGTCAAGAGGGTTCTGATCCAGTTTAACAGGATGGGAATCTTCTCGACTTGGGCTCAATTACTGTGTGTGTATGTGTAGAAACGTCAGTGCAGTACAATATTAACAATAAACCACCTTACAACACAACAACGTGCTGAAATTGTAAAAATTTATTTTAAAAAAAAAACTCCTATTGCGCGCCATGTTCCCGAATCGATTGATATCGAAATACGACGATTTCGACTGGCCGGTTCATTCACCAGATTTGACTACACCTGACTTTTTCCTGTAGGGATATCTGAAGGGAAAGGTTTATGCCGGTAAACCAGCCACTCTCCAACGCTGAGAAATCACTGCCATTCAACCCGCAACACTCCAAAAAGTGATGGAAAATGCCAAAAATCGCGCCGATTTGTGTGTGGCGTCCGGAGGTGATCACATTGTAATAAATAAATTGTAATAAAATTTCAATAAAAAAAGCATTTATTACAAAAAATTCACTGTTTGTCAAATTATTTAAAAAAAACTTCGGATACCTCTATAAGATACACCCTTTAGTTGTGTAAAAATTACCTAGTTCCTAATATACCTTTTATTTAAGTATCTTTCCTTGTGTTTGTGCCATATTTGACAAGTAAATATATATAACATCTATCTATTATACTGTAGCCATGTATTGATTTATTACTGGATACTTAAAACGATTTTTTACTTTCCTATCTGTATACAGATAAGGAAAGTATAGGAATCATGATTTTTTTCGACGGATTTTTACGTTTTGGGGTCCCCTGAATCCGTTTTGACTATTTTCGGAATGATGTGTGTGTGTGTGCGTGTGTGTGTGTGCGCGTGTGTGTGTGCGTGCGTGGGTGCGTGCGTGCGTGTGTGTGTGTGTGCGTGTGTGGGTGCGTGCGTGCGTGTGTCTGTGTGTGTCTGTGTGCGTCTGTGTGCGTCTGTGTGTGTGTCTGTGTGTGTCTGTGTTTGTCTGTGTTTGTCTGTGTGTATCTGTGTGTGTGTCTGTGTGTGTCTGTGTGTGTCTGTGTGTGTATGTGTGTGTCTGTGTGTGTCTGTATGTCAGTGTGTGTGTGTGTCTGTATCCACCATAACTCATGAACCGATACAAAGAAAAACACCAAATTTTAAACTTAAGCTTTATTCCAGCCTGCGGTGAACTAATTAGATTTTGGGCAGAGTCGGAACATTTGGGGGGATACTTTATTGGTGGTAATTTTTATATTTTATGAACTATATCCGTTATTTACGTTTGGAAAAGAAAATTCTTCAAATAAAAGTTACTTATAATATTATTATCTATAATTTTTGTTCTATACAAAATTTTCCTAAAATGGTCCGTATTCGAGAAATTTGACAAAATGTAAAAAAAAAATATTTGTTTATAAAAATTGTTCAAATAAAAGTTGTTTGTAATATAATTCTCTATAATTTTTATTCTATACATAATTTCTCTAAAATGGACCGTATTCGAGATATTTTAGAAAATGTGTAAATTTCGAATTTTGAAGAAAACTCAAAAACGGATAAAGGAAAAAACATTAAATTTTAAACTTAAGTTTTATTTCGGCCTGAGGTGAAATTATTAGATTTTGGACAAAGGCGGAACATTTGGGGGGTACTTTATGGGAGGCCGTTTTTATATTTTATGGAATATATCTGGTATTTATGTTTGGAGAAGAAAATTGTTCAGATAAAAATGACTTACAATAGTATTATCTATATTTTTGGTTGCATACAATTTTTTTTTAAATGGTCTGTATTCGAGAAATCTGACAAAATGTAATAAAATTCAAATTTTTAGGAAAATTGTTTAAATAAAAGTTATTTGTAATATCGATCTTTATAAATTTTTTTTTATACGATTTTTCTAAAATGGACCGTATTGAAGGAAAAGTGCTAAATTAAAATTTTTCAGTATTTTCGTTTTCAATGAATATCTATAGAAAAATGTTTCGAGTTAGATGTATGTGGAAAATATATATATTTAGTTTATCCTCTAAACATTTATAGAGGTGCTGCAATAGGTTGTACAAAATAATCGGAAAAAGCCTATAATAACTAGAAAGGAAAGTCATGTGTTGGACCCATCAGATTTTTGAGCTTAACAACATTATTTTTAAGATTAGTATTTTTATTATATACACAGATTCATATTTAATTTGTAAGCTGTTGGCTTTAAAATTCAGTAGGATATATTCTACTCTCGATCTGGATAGTTGTTCCTTACGAAAATAACTGATTGCCGTATTGTTATTCTCTTAAGAAGCATGGTAAAATTTTTTGTTTCTATCCCCAAATAAGGTATAATATCGTGCGAAATCTCACAAGGTATTGCAATCATTTGTTTAGGTTCTTCTATCCAAAAAGATTCCTTTTCATTACTAGCTAAGCATCTATCATAAACGTTCGTTTCTCTATATAACTGGGAATTATCCACGTTTCCATTATTGATTATCTTGTAATAGTTTGTGTAGCCTCTTGTGAGATCTATACTTAAAATGATCGTGTCATTTTTATCGGTGGTTATCGCAAGGGTATTATTATTAGTGGCTTTGAAGCAGTAGATTTTGTAGTAACTGTCATTGTTGTAGTGGATTTTTGAGCATGTTCCTTCGGTAATTACTTCTGTAAAAAATAGACAGAACATAGACAGTTGCGAATCTTATGAAGACTATAAAGAATGAGTTAAATCAGCAAATTTCAAATAACGAAAACGTAATGGCGAAGAAAGCAAAAACAAAACATAAAAATTTTATATTAATAAAAACAAAAAGTACTTTGCAGTGATGGTATTGTTTGTATTTTAATAATTAAAATACATTCTAATGATTTTCTAGCAATGTTTAAAAAAATATTATTTTTTACTTACCTTGAGCTGTAGATTCTTTTAAATAAATTAAGGTTAAAATAACTGTAAAAAACAAATTTTTAATTGCCATTATCTACGTCTCTCTCTAAAATAAGTCAAATTTCGATTTCTTACGGTATGAAATGGATTTTTGGATATTTTTAAACTCATTGGGTCAAGAGAGCGAAAATTAATCAAAATAAGAAAATAAACAATGCTGTCTGTTGTTGATAAATTTTTTACTACAGGATGAACCATCCTGCATATATTAAATTCACTAAATTTATAATTTTAAAAATCATCTCCCAATTTAAAAAAAAAATATTTTTTATATCTAATACTCCAAATTTTATATCACATTTATTTATTCAATAATTTATATGGACATTTACTTATATATCTAGAAATAGGTTGATGTAACTGTTCGAACACCTCTGTGAAAGTTGATGTCACGAATCTTCTGCTCACAATTAATTATATTCAATGTTACCACGTGTTGAATAATAGTGTGCTTGCACAGAAGCGTATTCAGTATTTACAATACGGTTAAAAAATGTACTTATTATTTCAATCAAATCTTATAATCAGGAAGGTTTTAAAAATACGTGAGGAATTATTACATGTCATTTTGTAGAATACAGAAATTTTATCAAATAATTTTTTCCTATACAATTATTTTTTCGTTCAAATTGTGGACATTTTTAGAAGTTGAGATACAGTACTTTTATATACACGGTGAGTGTATAATGAAGTAATATTTAAATTAGCTAAAAAAGTAATTTAAACTACATACATACATTTATATAGTTATGAACATCTTACACTAAAATTTGGTTTTCTATTACTTATGAATTTAAATGTGTCGTCTTTATATGATACATAAGTTCTGCTTACAAGTAAATATTTCAAAATAATGATTTAGACGCTTAATTATATTTACACGTAAGTTAAATAAGAAGAGACGCTCTTAAATCGACTGACTGCCTGCAGTGACTGGACCGATAGATCCACTTCTACCACTAGTGGGCTGGCGAGCACTGTTTTACCTCTGTCTAATAAATAGCATCGCTTATTGTATGCTGTTTTTCTGATGTCATTTATTTATTTATTATTACATACATATAGAGGGTATAGAAAAACATATTATTTATGACATTCGTATATTTTCCTTAAACAACACATTTTAAAATTATTCTTATAAGCTACAGTGTTTAAATTCAGCTTAACTCATTCCCTTGCAGGTGTTCTATCTGGAATATCAATCAAATGGAATATAACTGGTAAATGATTAAGCAGAAGTGTCAAATTATTAACGTACAGTCCCTCATAAACCATACCAGTTTTGAACCATTTACACGGTACTCTTTCACTATCGTTTATATCATTTCTCCAATAATGAACAGCTTCCTTTACTTTCTTACATTTGTCCGGTACAAATTGGGTGCAAGTGAACGTCTCCTTTCCGCTGACGAGGTTTTTCATGTTAAAACAACTGGATGTCGAAGTCGATTTGTAATATTCTATTAAATCGTTCTTGTCTGTTATTAGAGACCAAGTGTTTGATGTATTTTGGAAACATTGGATTCTGAAGTAGTCGTCTTGATCGTAGAAAAGTTTGACGCAAGTCCCGTGGTCTACGAACCCTAAAAGAATACGATTTAAACTGACTTAAGGGGAAGTAAGCTTCCAGCATACAGGGTGGGTCAACGAAAACGAAATTGTTTAAGATTCTTAATGTCATTAAAAACAAATCGCTCGAACATGTCAATTGAATTGTCAAGGGAGAACCCAGCTAGCAAGGGACGTTGTCATAATCACGTTGAATTTTGGTCAAATACGTCGATGTTATTTTTTGACGCAAAAGTAACGCAATAATAACGTCATTTTCGGATCAATTTGACAGGTAAACACAGTAGCTGCGAACAAAATAAACCTACTTATGTCATTAATGCACTGCTAGTGTTTGTTATTCATTATTAAATAAATAAAAGGTAATTCATGCAACATCGTTTTTTAGCGGCCATTGTGACACCAAAATAAGACGTACTATGACGTCATGTAGGGACCAGTTTGTCACGTTTCGAAATGAGACGTTAAACTATTCACGTATACACGTCAATTCTATATCTTCGTTGTGTTACATTCTATTATTGAAAATATCTTTAGTGTTTGTATTAATTTACGATTTTCATTTTAAATCTTGGGATTTTTAGGAATTTTCCTTTTTATATAAAATTTTATGTTGTCGACACTGTTTGGAAATGTCAGATGTCACGTCATTGTCCAAGTTTCGCGGCATTTGCACTGTTTGCAACATTAACAATAACCACAGAAGAAAGAATAATATTGTTCTTTATCCTGTGCCATAACTAATATTTTATCGTTTGATTTTGCATGTTTTTTGAAGGTAAGTAGTTAGGAAGTTTAGTGCGATTATTATTGTTTATAATTAGCATGTCTATAGAAATTCAATACGACAACAAGCACGGCAGTAGAGTATCATTATTCCACACAAAGTGGCTGACATCCCGAAAGCACGAGGTTCTTGTAAACGACAAGAATCTTTTAAGAACAGCTTAAAATAAGGCGACTCATCAGAAGAAAATTGGACTCTTTTAAATATGATTTAAGATGTACATAAGTAATATCAAAACCTAAACAAGGAAGCTTTTGCAGAATTATTTTTTGATTGATTTTATCGAAGGCCTTAGAGAAATCGGTATATGCTGCATCAACCTGTCCCCTACTATCTCATGATTCACAGAGATATTGACTAAAAGCTGCCACATTACTAACAGTTAAACGAGAAGTCATGAATCTATGTTGATATACAGATATAAGATTTTTAGCAGATAGATAGATACGGTTATAGAAGACGACCTCATTGTTTATAGCAGCGCGATCTTGACATTTATATATGAGACCGATTTGACCTATTTTCCAAACATCTGGAAAGACTGATGTTTTAATGATTAGATTAAAAAGAGTTTGTAGCTGATATATTAATTCTATTAAGCAATCTTTTTAAAAAAAAGAAGGTATTTTGTTAAAGAGTTGAAAGAGGGGGACATGAAGTATGACAGTTAATAATATGATAAAAAGATCTCCTCATTTAGTAAAAAACTGACTGGCCTTAGTGTTTTTTTAAAATATTGACTAAGTTTCTGATAATGGGTCTGATTCATTTTTAAAACAGTTTCTAGGATAGGAAGGGGGAACTAAAATGACAAAAGAGAACTTACAAATATGTAGTTCAGCAAAAACCTCATTAAATTTTCCTTTTAAGGCAAGGTTTCACAATTATTGATTCACCCTATACAATTATTATTTATACCATTGGATATCATTTTTTATAGGCTTTTCAATGATGTATAACAAGTAGGGGTTTACTATTTAAACTTTTTTAGTTGGGGTAGGTGAGGCCCAAGGGGTTGATGGGTGTGGGATAATGCAAATCACTTCTTCCTAGTTTTTTTTTCTCTTGGGCTCGTCTGACTATGTGTTTCCGAATAACACTGAAGCCTATTGGCTTATTGTGTTTTACCCCATGTTAGTTCATAGCACCCACTCTGTCACCTTTATACCTTGTACAAGTTTGTACAGATACTTGGATGAGTGGGTTCTATACGTTGTTGGATCAACCTGGGGTTTTCCAAAAAGAGCCTGTCTTTTGCGATCTAGAGCTTCGCATTCGCACAGTATGTGTTTGGCCGTTTCTGGTTTCTTGTGACATAGTCGACACATGAGTTCCCCATTGTACATGCCAATTTTGTTCAAGTGTCCCTTTACTGGGGCGTGCCCAGTCATGAACCCTGTTATCACTTTCAACTGGTTCCTATTCATTAAGAGTAATTCTCCAGTTCTTTTGGGACATGGTCTGTCTATGAAGGCTTTTCCATGTGCATGTTTTGGGGTGCTTCCCCAATAATTGATATGTTGTTCCCGAATCCAGTCGTTTATGAAACCCCGGACTGTACTTTTTGGTACTCCTGGGTTTGTGTCTGGTTCCGGTGTTTCTTCTGACCCTCTTTTTGCAAGTTCTTCGGCCTTTTCGTTGCCTTCCATCCTTTGGTGACCTGGCACCCAAAATAGGTTTACTCTATTTCAGTTTGCCAGTGTTTTTAGTTCTTGGATGCATTCCCATACCAGCCTCGCCGTAACTTTCTGTCTCGATATGGCCTTAAGTGCCGCTTGGCTGTCTGACATTATTTGAATATGCTGATTTTCGACAGCTCTTTCATTGTTCGTTTTTGCACATTGCAAAATTGCGTATACCTCGGCCTGAAATACCGAGGAATGTATTCCTATAGCATAGCTATGGTTAGTATCAGGGTTTTTGGAGAATAGTCCTGCCCCAGTGCCTTCCGCAGTCTTAGACCCGTCTGTATACCAGGTTTGTTCCTGTCGTTGGGCATTGAGCTCTCTTATGGTGATCTCCGCTCTTTCCTGTATTAAAACCTCAAATGGAGTATTAAAAGAGTACCTCTTGGTTATGTGGTCTGATCTCATGTCTAGCACTTCTCCTGTCACTAACCTTGAGATACTCATGTGTCCTGGCCTAATGTCAAGATTTCCAGAGTATATTCCCTAATCTGTAAGCACCTAATCTTGCTTCCCCTTGTATCAACCTCATAAAATTTTCCTTTTAAGGCAAGGTTTCACAATTATTGATTCACCCTATACAATTATTATTTACACCATTTGATAGCATTTTTTATAGGCTTTTCAATGATTTATAACAAGTAGGGGTTTACTATTTAAACTTTTTTAGTTGGGGTAGGTGAGGCCCAAGGGGTTGATGGGTGTGGGATTTTTTATATAACCATTTTTTAGAGCCTTTAAGAAGGAATTTAATGATGCAAATCACTTCTTCCTAGTTTTCTTTTTCTCTATTAGTGCTTCCATTGCAGCAGTGGGGGTTGGTTTCATTGCCCCCGTTATTCCGAGGCAGGCAAGTCTTTGTACCTTGCTTAGCCTCGCTATTGCTTTCCTTTGCTGTGTCTTTGACCACCACACCAAAGCTGCGTATGTTATTATCGGTCTCACCACTATGTTATAAAGCCAATATACCATGTCTGGTTTTAACCCCCATTTTTTTTCCAAAGGATCGCCTTGCCATCATTAACGAGGTTTCCGCTCTCCTTGTGGTTCTTTCTAGATGCTGGTTCCAGGTAAGTCTCGAGTCAATCATAACCTCGACATATTATACCTCCCCTTAAGCTGGATCTTGCACCTCTTAGGTTTAGAGGCCCTAGTCCCTCTAATTTCCTCCTGCGGGTGAATGCAATTATGTCAGATTTGTTTGGGCTAATGTTTAGTCTTTTCGCCTCAGTCCATTTTGTTACTATATTTAGAGCCTCTTGCTTTCGATCTCTTACTATAGTGTTGTATTTTCCCTGTGCCATAATCACTAGATCATCGGCATATCCCAGGGTTCTATGTCCCTTATCTTTGAGAGCCCTAAGCAGCCCGTCCACTACAAGGTTCAACATGAGTGGAGACAGCACTCCACCCTGTGGACATCCTCTCGCTACCCGTGCCGTTATTGTCTCTCCCATAAGGGTAGTGTGTATAGTTCTCTCCCTTGACATAGAGTCGATCCAGGACATGCATGTGTCCTCGATTCCTCTGTGTTTGAGAGATCTAATGATCGATTCAACGTAGGTATTGTCAAATACACCCTCGATATCCAAGAATGCTCCCAGCATTACCTCCTTGTTTTCCAGTGCGCTCTCCGCCCTTTTTATTAATTGATGAAGAGCTGTTTCAGTTGATTTCCCTGCACTATAGGCGTATTGGACTTGGTTTATTGACCTTCCTAGTTGTTATTTAACAAAAACACTTATTTCTGTTAAAATTCCTCCAAATTTGATCTGAAAATCCTATTTTCTGACCTTACAGACAACTCAGCGGTGACTTTTTAAAAACCATTTTGTAGAGCTTTTAAAAAAGAATTCAACTATGCAAACCACTTCTTTCTAGTTGAAATGGTAGTCAAGTTATTTACCAAAACCATTTTTCTCTTAAAATTCAATCTGAAAATCCTACTATCTTGCCCTACAGACAACCCAGTATGAATTAGTAAAAACCAGTTTGTAGAGCTTTTAAAATGAAATTCAACTATGCAAACCACTTCTTCCTAGTTTAAACGATAGTCAAGTTATTTAACAAAAACACTTATTTTTGTTAAAATTTCCCCAAATTTGATTTGAAAATCCTATTTTCTAGAATTACGGACAACTCAGCGATGACTTTTTAAATACAATTTTGTAGAGCTTTTAAAGTTTTAGTTCCCTCTTCCTAAACCAGAAATTGTTTTAAGCATTGTTAGTTTTTTAAATTGTCATACCTTATACTGTAGATAAATCATATACATTTTTGATACAAATTATTTGTAGAGGAAATACCAAAAATCAAAGTGAAGAAAATCCAGATGAAGCGAAAATTCGACTTCCGGAGAAAGCCAACTTCTAGCAGGGAGGAGTTATAGTGTACAATGTCAAGAAGCCGCCAAGAATATTAACCTTTGCTTCCCGTCAAGTTGCTTAATAGACATTTTATAGTTCATTCACATTTTGCAGTTTTATAACATATTGTTTTATTTCATTTTAATTAAGTCAGTCTAAAATCCGATTTTGTTCTTTTAACACCTTTCTTTTGTAACATTTTTTTAAAAACTACCTTACGGCAATTTTGAATTTAAGTTACATATATTATGATAATAAAATTAATATACTCGTACTTATGTAGGTACTGTACTTACCTATCACTGTCACAAAACATAATATAAATACAATAAAAATATATTTATATTTTTTAATGCAATCACAAGCCATTATGAACTACTTTAAACATTAGTTATAAGAATCTTCAAGGTTTGTTTATTAATAATTAAATTGCTATCTGGAAAATCGCAATTCTAGGATAATAAGTTAAAAAAGAGGGGAGTACCTATTATAGAAGTAAATACCTGATTCTATGAAAAAATGACCTTCGTAAAAAACGTCTCGTTTGTTGAAAATCTCAATCAATTGGATATAAATTATCATTTTTGCATAATTATTATAATAGCAGTATGGGAATATGTTTAGATAATGTTTTATTATGAAATTTAAAAAAAAATCCGTGCAAAATAGTATATTGTTTCACGAGTGATGAAAAAATGATTTTCGACGAGTAAAACACTATACTTTTTCTACGAACTCTATTATGAAAAATTATGAAAAATGAAAAAAAAAAACAAACGTTAGCAAATGTGTTAGGAATAACAAAAAATTAACCAACAATTAAATATTTCAGATATATTATTTATTATTTAAATATTGATTTATTGTTATATTTGAACAATTGTTAAAAATTGTGGGGGTATCACACTCAAGCTTTTTATTTATTGAGGTAGATGCCGACATATTTGTTCTACTGTTAAATGTCATTTCAGATGATGATGCGCCATAATCGCATGAACTAGTAGTTTCCTTATTTTGTACAGATTGTAAAATTTTGGTTTGTATTTGGTTTTTACTGTTCGTGGATTCATCAACATATCCTTCCACAACACTACTAGATTTCTAACCACCGTGCTTTTTTAACAGAAGCAAGACACCTCCTGCATCCACTATAGCGTTGCGGATGTTCTGCGGAAACAGTGCCCAGTGTAATCTTGAGGATTCGGAAGCGTTAAAAACTGAGCAATTTCGTTAGGAAATTTACTGATTTTATTAATTCCAACAACCTGTCTGCTACACTTTCCATTCTGATAGTTAATAAAGAATCTTGAATTAATTTGATCCATGTTTGCGGGACGTAGGCTCATATATTTTTTAGAAATATCATGAAAGGGTCCAGAAATATGAAAAGAACGCGGAACTTTTGTTTTTGTATTACGGATTTTAACTAACAGAATACTTCCAGTATCCTTTACATCACTTATTGTTAAATTTTTTAGTTCGTGGCAACGACAAGCGCCAGATAATCCAAAAACTAATGCTACCTACAAATATTAGTAGTTATGTATTAAGTATTTGTTAAAATAAAAATAATAATTCCGTTACCTTTGTTATTAAATATTTATAGTCAGGTGCATTCTTTAGGAAAGTCTTTATGTCTTTAGGCGAAAAAATTTTGGATTTTTGGCTTTTAAAACCATCAGATTTTCTTTTCAAAAGCGAACGTAACTTTGGATATTTACTAATATCGACATCATTTTTAACAGAGAGTGTAGTTCTTAGCATCGAATAAATGGACCATAACGTCGACGGTTTAAAATTTGAACATATTTCTCCAAAGTATGCTAGTAGTACAGTTTCCGAAAATGATTTCACTTTATTTTTTTTCTCCAGTCCAAAAATTTGATATAAATTTCTTCATATCTCTTTTTTGATTTGGCCGGTAATAAATCTGAAGAGGTTTCTTCAGCTTTAAAAATAATTTCTGGGGGAGTACAATCGCTTTCTGACTCAGACATCATGAAAATGTGTTAAATTTAGGACGAACTGAAACTGACAGTTCTCAAAAGTGATAAAACTTCAAATAAACAAATGAAAACCAGGAAACTAGATGTAGATTGGTTTAATTTGCACTATTTTTATACATTTTTATTTTATCTTTAATTCATTAAAGTTTAGGTAAAAACGCATATAGAATTTAATGAGCATCTTTTTATTTCATTATTAATAATTATAAGCTGCCAAAATATTATACGAGGCGACTGATATATGAAAAAATGTAACATCTTACTTTCGTCACTAGAGACGAAAGTAAACGTTATGGGATTTTTTCTCACTAGTGACGGAAATCAAGTTTTCGCTGAAAGAATTCGTAGAAAAAAATTTTTTATTTATTTTCTCTCTCTTAAACAGGATATTTTATTTATTATTTTAAATATCAAATTATTGAACAAAAATGCATTAATTTCAGTTGTTTTTTATTAAATTTCATTCATTTTTTTATGTTTGTTAATCTAAATGCTAAAGATAATAAAATTTACTTCTTTAAATCATATTATAATTTCTTTGATAAAATTTAATAAATTAAAATGCAATTATGTTGATTTAATAAATCTGCTTAATATTACCTATAGAAATATTTATATAATTGTTATGTATTTTCCTGCAAAAAAAAGGTAAAATTCTACAAACACAACAATAATTTTTGTAGCTAACAAAAAAACGAACAAAAAAATGTTTAATATAGTTTAAAAGGGGTGGGTGGCTCAGTGGTGGAGTCTCTGCCTGTGGATCCAAGGGTCCCAGGTTCGAATCCCACCACCGTTGGACGGAATTTTTTCGTTTAATCTAATTATTTAAAATTAATTCTAATGCCTTGGTAAGATTCCCCACTCGACCATTCACTGTTGGGTTTTAATTAACAGTGCTGTTCCTAAAGTGGCGCTGGGAAACAGTAACAAAGAACACAGAACACGAGGCGAAATAACCTTAGCAGTTAGTTGAAGCCGATGACACACAAAAAAATATATAGTTTAAAGAAAATAGGAAAAACTATTCGCTGGGAAAAATGCATTAAGTAAAAATAGTTAGATAATCAAAATTACACATTGTAATATGTATTGCCTAAAAAGAGGCCTGAAATCACTGTTTTGGCAGAACTATATGGCATGGGCGTAGCAATTCCAATTTCGTATTAACGATTATAATAATGAAATAAAAATACTATAATAATTCTATTATACAAATTTATTACATGATTTTCCACAAATATATAACAATTTTAAAATATTAAATATATTTTTTACCTTTAAAATTTTCTCTGCGCCATATATTAATAATTATTATTTATTAAAATAACTGACAATTTGCAAAGCGATTTATTATATAAAATTCTTATTTATCTTTAACTTGTAGAAGGAGCTGGGGTAGTTGAACCGTTTAAGAGACTTGTTCCCTTGGGTTTTAGGAACTTATCCAATATTTTTAAACCGGTATCCCAAAGTTTGTCGTTTTTGCTGCCTTCTGGGACGATCTTTCTATTAAAACAGTATCTTACTCGTATAGAATCGTCTTTATCTGCCGACATTGACAGATTTGGGGTTTCTAGAGAATACGTCACGCATCTGGAACGAATAAAAATTATATTGTAAAAATAAAGTTCTGTGCAATGTGGAAAAGGTTTTATAATATTTAGTTTTCAGTAATAAATTTGATTCTATAACAATATACAGGGTGTTTTCAAAGTTGAGTCATTTATTTTAACAGCTTGTAGAACTCGTGAAAAGAAGTCGATATACCAAAAATCACCTAAATAAAAGTTGCATATTAAAATCAATAAAAAGGAATTTCAAAATTTTAAAACTGAAACAAATACAAACTATTTACCCGCATATTTTAATATTCCTGACCACTGTCAAGTAAAAACTTATCGTTGTTTGTTTACTACGAAAATTTTACTTATCTAGGTATGGCTTTTTTTTTGTTTTACGGTTTTGAGAACGATTTTCGGTTAGTTATTGGTATCAAGCGTTTAGTTCGTATCACTTTAATTTTTTTGATATTTTGTACGGAAAAATGGCCCACGTTTATTGAAACAATGAACTAGTGGACATAATACTAACATACGGAGAGTGCCAACAAAAAGCAGCCGCAGCATGTCGCCTTCAGGCCTTGGTTTCTTTGAACCCTCCGTCGCGGTCCGTCGACCGTCGCGTTTTGACGATTTTATCCAACCAGAGTATTTAAATGGGAACGGTTTTCTTGAATCCGCTTAGCTGAACAGGACGGCGTCATGTCGTTGATTTATCGCGACTAGTCGGTTCATATCTGTTGAGTTTGATATCAGCGGAATCGTCGCAATATGCGGAGACAGTTTGTGAATAAAAATAATTAGGTGTAAGGGTTAAAGAAAAGGTCCTTTATTTCTCACAAGTCAATTTAATTGGCGACCGGTTTCGAAGTTGTCACTTCATCATCAGGCACACCTAAATGGAATGTCAAGGAGTCAGTTGTAATAAAAACAATTATAAAAGCATGAACGGACTTTAACATATACAAAATAACAGAAAAAACACAAAGAAAGTTATATTTTTTATTTTTTTTTAGCTTATTCAAATTCTCCCACGTGGTTGTCGTACGCCAAAATTTGACTTTTCTTTTTTGACATTCGTACTGTTAACCTAGTTTTCGTTTCCTGTAACAGTAATTTTTCTTTTGATTATCTGCTTCAAATTTCCCTTTTACATATGAATTTTCACATTTTCTTGTTTAGTGTTCTAATTTTCTTGTTAGTATAAATACATTTTTTTGCTTTCTCATTCTCAGTTTAATATATTTTACTTTCAATAAATTTTGTCGCCGCCACCTATACTCACTTTCAGTAAATAACACCTTCGTTAGTACACTATTTATCCGCTAATTTAAAATTTACAGTTTACTGCATTGATTCGTTAAAAATCTAGATAGATGTCTTGACAGTCTGATAATTTTTACTTTTTTACTTTTTACTTTCAGTAATTAACATTATATCCTTAAAAATTTTTAAACTGTTTGTGCTTGTAAAACTATTTTGTGTTGTTTAGTTAATAATTGTCTTAAATGTGTTTTAATTAATTATTTTATTCAAACAGACATCTAGTGGTTTAACCTAACCTACATTAAAAAAATTTTTTTTAAAAAATACTTATTACACATGACTTTTTTAACTCGTTCTGTTAAACTTTTTGTAGCGCTTCCTTTATGGAATTAGTCAAGGTGAGTCAAGGTTATTGTTTAACTTTCTTTGTGTTTTTTCTGTTATTTTGTATATGTTAAAGTCCGTTCATGCTTTTATAATTGTTTTTATTACAACTGACTCCTTGACATTCCATTTAGGTGTGCCTGATGATGAAGTGACAACTTCGAAACCGGTCGCCAATTAAATTGACTTGTGAGAAATAAAGGACCTTTTCTTTAACCCTTACACTTAATCCCTACTACTCACATATGGCTACCCTCACTCCAAATACAAATAATTATATTGTTATTATTTTTAAAACAATGAGTGACAAATTTACACATACAGATGACTTTGTAGGTTTCTTGGAAACTCAACACGAATTCAAAAAGATCTGTAGAAAGTCTAAAATACTCCCTAAATTTGGTTTCGTTTCCAAAAAGCCCCTGCTGCACAGTGATATTAAAGGCACCTTCTGTATCGCGACAAAAAACAACTTATCCACTGGCTTTATTGGAAACTTTGACGGTTCCAATTGCCAGTTTCACTTGTTTTTCCTTTTCCAACAATAATAACAACGCAAACAATTTATTTGCGTCCATTTTAGTACCTTTTGTTTACATTCATAATACATAAACAGCACGTACAGACATAGAGAAGGTCTCATTTTCTATATTTAATAAACCACCTCGGACGAAAATCGCTGTCCTCAGCGGTTGACGGACTGTCCGCTCACCGCGACGGAGTGTTTAAAGAAACCAAGGCTTTACGCGGAAATGTTTCCATTAAGAAATCATTAGGCTCCACGGATGTTTGTAAATTTAGTTATTCGACTTCGTGAGACACGATATTTAAAAGAACAACAAGGGGGTCACGCTGGAAGACCTGCTCCACCTGAAATGGTAAAAATTGAGGAACATATTTTGGAAATGGTGGAAGATGACCCAACAAGAAGTACCAGAGCCATAGCAATTCAAGTGGATGTTTCCCATAGTAAAGTGTGGAAAACAATACGACAGGAACAATATTATCCTTATCATTATCAACGGGTACAAGCATTACAACCTGAAGATCATCCTTGAAAAGTTGAATTTTGCCAGTTGTTTTTACAACAGTTGAACAGAAATGAAGATTTTACGAAAATAATTTTAGCTACAGACGAATCCACATTTACACGAAATGGGATATTCAATTTTCACAACAATCATGTTTGGGCAGTAGAAAATTAGCATGTCGTAAGATCCAATTTCCAACAGATTTTCATTAAATGTTTGGGCTGGTGTAGTAAATGGCATGCTTATTGGACCATACTTTTTTCACCTCGGCTAACCGGTGACATTTATTTAGATTTTCTTCGAGACCACCTGCCAGAATTATTAGAAGATGTTCCACTAAATGTTAGGCAGGATATGTGGTTTCTACATGACAGAGCTCTACCGCATTTCAGAAGAGGAGTTCGTAAATATTTGAATGAACAGATTCCAAATGGATGGACCCGTTTCTTGGCCTGCACGCTCCCCGGACCTAACGCCTGGTGATTTTTTTCTGTGGAGTTATCTAAAACAGTTGGTGTATCATGATGGAGAAGTAAATACTGTGGAAGATCTTCAAGACCAATTTGTAAATGCTTGTGATGTTATTCGCGGATATCCGGATTTTATTTTTGAGGCCTGTCAGGAGTCGTGGGTATGCCGAGCAAGACTATGCATTAATCGGACAAATGGTGACAATTTTGAACAATTTTTGTAAAAATGGAATACATTTTACCGATAATGAATGTTTTTAATTTTAAAAAACCTCTAACTCCCTTATTATGCCACTTTTATTTAGGTGATTTTTGGTATATTGACTTCTTTTGAAGCTGTTAAAATAAATGACTCAACTTTGAAAATACCCTGTATACATATAAGATGTCTCTCAAGGCTCTGTTTTGAGACCTGTCTTCTTTGTTTCATGCATTAATTCATATCGCTAGATTGGAATATAGTTTTTTAATAACGTATAATTTTCTTCTACTCACCTGAAGATGGCGTTTAACTTCCCCAAATGAAAAGCCAAAAAAGTAAAATTTTGATTAATTTTACACGGGATTTCTTGTATTTTCTTAACGCTTCTACGAGGTTCATCAGTTACATCATCAATGCAGTTGTTTTTCGTTACATTTAGACATATTGACGTTTTATCTTTCGATTTTGATTTGTATATGTCAAAGCATTCGGAATGTCGGCCGTACCCTTTATACAGGATGGTATCGTTCTTGGATGTGATGATGCCTAAGGTGTCGTTATGAGTTTTTAAATGTTCAAAGCAGTATACTTTATAGAAAGCTTCTCCTGTATAGTAGATTTTTATGCATGTGCCTTCTCTGGTTGTTGTGTAGTAGAAAGTGTCTGAAATTGAAATTAATTCATAATTGAAGACATACGTGTATAAAGGGTCGATATATATTTTTTTAAATCGATATTTTTGGTTTTGTTATATTCCTTTAAATAAAGATGTAACCGGGGATAAAATACCTATGTTCTATGATCAACTATCTATATAAAAACCTTAATTATATCTACTTCATCCACTTGTGTCTTCGATTAAGATTAATGGTTCTTAAATTTTATATTAGATTTTTTTTTGTGTTAGAGTAATTAAATCTTACATCCCTAGGTATTTGGCCAAATCGTAATGCGGAATAACGTCATTGGTTATTCGTATTTATTTTTGTTTATTTGGTCGAATAGTAAAATCAACATGCACTGATTTAGTTTGCTTTATTTTTATTTTCCACTTTTTTGTCCATCGATTGATTATGTTGCAGGTTTCCTGAAGTTTTTCTGAGGTCTCTTTATTAGTTCCGCTAACTACCAATATTGCAGTGTCATCTGCAAATGTTGCTATTTTAACACATTGTTGTTGAGGGATATCGCTGGTATATAATAAGTAAAAAACCGGTCCTAGCACACTGCCTTGTGAGACACCTGCTTTAATTTCTTTCATTTCGTAGTATGCCTCGTCTTGCTTTACTCTAAACATTCCTACCATTAGATATGATTGTAGAATGTCGACATATTGTCTAGGGAGCATTTTTTTAAGTTTCTGTATCAGGCCAGCATGCCAAACCTTGTCAAATGCTTGGGCTACGTCAAAAAATATAGACGAGCATATATATTTTTCTTCGTAAGCTTTTTCTAAAACCAAATTGGTGCGAAGAGATCAGATTTTTATTTTCAATTACCGGTTTGTCGTTTTAGTAGTAGTTTTTCAAACAACTTAGATTTTATCGGTAACAATAATATAAGTCTATGAACATTTATCTGCAGGGTCACAAGCCACTACAGGGGCTGCTCCATATCGAATTTTCTTGGGAAGGAGGGTAGAATTGCTTATGTAGCATATTTTTTTTAATAAAAGGCTCATGGATTTTAAGAATTTTAAACTAGGGAACGGCATGCGCCCCTGAACCTCCTCTGGGGCCGCCCTTGGGCCACTCCTCACTTCTGACTAAGTTCTTACTGTCGAGGAAAGCGAAAAACCATAATATTGAATCCTTTGCTTTAATTGTTACTGTTACATCCGTACCGCAATTTTTCAATTTTTTTCACTAAAACCACTCACAGAGAACAAAGTTTAAAACATAATGTAATCCAAATATCTGTTTAATACCTTATACATTACTATAAACGACTCACAAACTACTGCAACATGCGTCTGTCATAAGATATTTATTTCGTGTCAACTCTACTAACTCTACGCATGACGTCAGCGCCGCCATGACACCATGCGTGATATTCCCTCCCTTGGTTAAATTTCATAGGAATGTCAATTGATGTCCGGCGGCATTCAAGATTGATATGACATTTTTGAAGTCTTCTTCTTAATTAGTATTAATTTTAAACTGGTTATTGCTTAGAGATGTGGCTTGAAAGGAAATATTATTTTCTGCCAGTATATGGCGCAATTCTTCATACTTATTGATGTTGCTTGCTATTATCGGGGGAAATTTCACTGTTTTTTCGACTGTTTCTTTCTCTTGCTGTTGATTTTTGCTACCTCCAGGTTGGCCAGAAGAGGTTTCTGGAGAGGAGTTGGCTTTTCGTTTTTTTCTTTTATTGTTTCTGCTTTCCGCTGTTATCCATTCTATTTCTTAGTTAATTTGATTGCCGATTTCTTTTGCCAGTTCTTCTTCATCAGTCTCATAATTCGTTGGACATTTAGAATTTTCTTTGTTTAAGATATTAATTTGTTTTAGTATATTTTCCATATTGTTTTGCATTTGTTGCAATACACTTTCTAGTTGCTGTTTTTCTTCTTTTTCCTATATTGCACAATGCCTGTTCATTCTGACATCTAGCTTGATTTTCATGAAATAAGGCCTGATATTGTTGGGCTAGGAGATTTTTTCTTACTTCCATTGTTTCCATATTATTTGTTTGATTCACCTGAAGCAGGTCCTTTTTTTACTCCAAAAGCACTTCGGCAGGTGTCAAAATATTTACACGAAACTGACCTAGTTACGGAGTATTGTTAATAAACATACATCCTCACCTATCGACAGCCGAATATAAACCATTATATTAGATGTACAAGAAAAACCTCAAAAAAAAAAACATTCAAATAAAAAGATATTAGGTCTTATTAGGACTTTATCTTTTACCATTTTCAAATTCATTTAGAAGTAAAATTAAATACAATTTAAACTCATTTCATATATTCCTAGGTAAATGATTACGTATGTTTCGTTGGTAAAATAAAAAAGCTTTTATGTGTGGAAGTTTATCTGTGTTGAGGCTGATTTCTTGTGTTGTGCTTAATTCATATTAGAACAAATAAAATAGCGATCCACAAGAAAATGTTTCTTCTTCTTTTTGAATGTCAGTTTAATTTTAATTCTGAGCCTCTCATAGTTATCACGAACATGACTTAATCTGTCTTTATCGGTCATGGCATACTTCAGAATAATTTTTTATAGATCACTATAACAATTTACTTGAATGTAAGATTAGTAGTTTGTGCAACATAGTTTTAAAAAACAAAAAAAGAGGTTAAAAATGTTAATTTTGGATTAAAAAGGTGTATATTATAATGCAGCGGTATAAATATTTTAATAAACTTACGGTTTTTGTCATTATTATCATTTTTATCTTCGAAATTTTGAGAATATGCATTACTCACCACGTAAAACAATATTAAAATCGAACATTTAAATAGTTGCATCTTTAAAAATTAAACTTGAGAAGTGAAAATTTGAGATATGTTTGGATACGTCTAACTATTTTCAGACGATCTATTTTTAAATACTATGCATACAGTGTGCGAATCATTTTGTTAAGCCTAGGACAATTATACAGGTTGTTCAACGACGGGAGAGACATGATTTGTACTAGAAACAAACCAATGGACGGGTTTTTTTGTTAAAAAAGGGTAAAAATAGTAAACAAGTTATGATTTTTTTAACTAAAATATTTTGATTGTTCTGTAATATGTGCTTATACCAGAAGCAGAAGTCAAATTTTTTATTTTAAATAGGACACCCTTATTTTTATTTCAGATAATTTGAAATTCTTTTTCTGCTAGAGTTTTAACTTCATTCCAAGTGAACTATCGCCCCGTCGACAAAACTTACAATCTTACCTTTTAAATTAAGTTCTAACAAACCGCTTATATACAGGAAAAATAGTAGTGGACTTAATACAGTATCTTGAGGTACTCCGTATTTGATTTTCCGGAATTTACAGCGAAAAAAAATTCAGTAAACTTTTTAGTAGTAACACTTTTTTACTGAAGCGTTTTCCTCAGTGTACTCTTTGTGAATACACTGATGACTTAATAATTTTTTTTTGAAGCTTATTCAACAAAGTTTTGTGTCAAACAGTATTAAATGCCTTGGTAAAGTCGATAAATATACATTTTAATAGTAAATGAATTGTTTGTTTTTTTTTTCTTGTATTATCAGTTTATTTAATAAAGAAAATAGGAAAGTGCAACAAGTATTCTTATAATTGACATGAATCTTTATTTCATACTAAAATTCTGTATTGACTTTTTTAATATTTTACCCTCAAATATTTTCTTAAGTTATGAAACTAAATAATTTTTGTAAACTTCTCAACTGGCCTAATAAGGTGACTTTGCACAGAGAAAATTTAAACAATAATTTAGATAAATATGTAAATACGCCCTCCGTTTAGCTGGTCGATCCCACAATAAATAATAATCTTGTTTTTTTATATTCAAACCTTGAAAACGAGTGATTTAAAATGGGTAATAATTACAATAAGCAAACACAATTTATTTCTGCTATGTTGCTATTGCATTTTTTGGGCGTATTAGGTAAATATTTAAATTTTTATGTATTAAAACCTTTGGTTTGTAACATTTTGCTAACAATATTGACTCTAAACAGAACATTATACCACAATGTTAGTGTACGAGGTAACTTTTTAATATGTTTGCTAAATATTGAGCCATATGTCTTGTATTGTTATGGAAAGAAACTCCACTAAATATACTATACAAAATATCATAGTATTCCCCAAGCTGATACATCAAAAGACTAATGGCATCAATTCTGCTAGACCATCTAGTTTCAGAAATTGGTTTTAAAGTTAAATTGGAAATATGTTCTTTAAAAACAGTCCAACGATTAGTTGTGGCAGAAAACAATTGTAAAGTTCTTGAACTGCAGTTACAATTGTTACTTTTCTGCATCATTTACAACCAAGTTTAAACTAGGAAAAAACCAGGAAGCAAATGTGTTAATGTGGTTGCTCAAACGGACCTAGTAAAAATCACAACAAAGAGCAATATTGGAAAGCCTAGAAGGAATTGAGAGCTACTCAACCTGGAAACAGGTTGAACACGAAGAATGGGATGAAACCCTATTTAAAAATATATAATTTAAAATGTGTAATTCATACACAGATAAACAATTGAAAAGGGTTGTCTTAGTAGAACTAATTGATACTGGAATGATTTTTGGCATTCAGAAAATATTAAGAGAGAAATTTCTGGATATACCTGAAATGGATGATGACTTTGAGGTCCTTGAAAAAATTACCAGACTGAAATCATATCATTTATATTTTATTTGTTTATCCGAGGGTATTGTACCTGTCGACGATTCTCACCGACATAATACGATACTGCATGCTACAATTAATAGAGACGGGCGTAACTATACCGAATGGCTCGTATACGTTTTTCCTAACCTGTATGTGATTTTGTCATGAAACAGTTATTTCGACATTTCTTTAATCTTTTAGGGAAAATAGAAGATGGATATTGCGTGAAAATTTACTACAAACAAGATGATTACTTCAGAATCCAATGTTTCAGGCTACATTCCTATGTTTTATCAATTACAACTGACAAGAATGACGTGATAGAATATTTAACCTCAAATTCATCTGGCAGCTGTTTCAACATCAAAAACGCAGCAACTAAAGATACAATTTTCGCTTGTACTAAAATACAAAATGATGAATGTATAATGAAAAACGAGGTAGTACGCTTTTGGTTTGATTTTACCAAAGACAATAATATAATCCCGTGCAAAAGAGTTTTTAAAAGAGAACTGTATGAAGGATTGGAATTTAAAAATTTAAATTTAACTGTTTCGGTTTCTGTATACCAGAAGTTTTTAAATATTGTGAGTGTACCAGGAAAAACGCCACCAAGAGAATTTACTGTCTGAATTTTGCTTCATTTAGAAAGAAATTACCCGCAAAACAAGTAAAAAAAAATTTTTTTGCTTCTTTAAATTCTTTTTTTTTTTATAATTTTTACCTAAAAAAAAATTAAATAAATAGTTATATGTGAAATCGCATTGTTTATAAAAAATTTCGTATTAACTATATCTGTATTTTCGAGATATAATTAAAAACTCTAAGGGTTGCATTTTCACCCCAATCTCCAATATCAACTCGCTAATTTAATATCATTTTTATTGACCATTTGAATTATTTATGCGATAAAAACCCATGAAAGTGATCATTCCTTTCTATATGACATTAGTAAAGACTGTAATGGATTTGTAAGTTTGCAAATTGCATTTTTTTTTAATTTCAACATTTCTTGCAATGAAACGGGAAAAAATCGACTAACACCATTTCCATATTTATATTTATTTAAGCATTAAATTTGTTATGATTACGCTACTGATTTGTAGTCAAACATAAAACGTGTAATATGGCGCTGGTTATGATGACACGTTCGCGAATAGGACTGCAACCACATACTTCGATCCTCCGAGCAATTACTACTAGAGGGAGTCTTCCCCCCTTCCCCGCGCTAAATTTTGTTAGCAATATCTACTCCCCCCGAGGGGGAAAATACCTCTTCTGTAATTGGCTTATTTAATCAGCGTTGCCAAGTTTGACAGCGCCAGTTCTGACACTTACTGACACATGTCAATTTCTTATTTGTATTTTACGGAAAATATTATTATGTACAACGTTGTAAGGGTTGTAAATGTATATTTAAGATTTATTATCTCTAATAATATGGTGAAAATATGCTTTATGTGTAAAAGGTCTGTTGAAAATGCTTCTTCAAGATAATATCATAAGTAAGTACAGACACAACCTAATTATCAGAGGCAGTGCATTAGGCAATCACTTTAATTTGCAATTAAACTTTCTTATTTTCTTATCGAAAAATTAAAATTATGAGCAAGTAAACTCCAGCTAAGTTCGTCTTCATCCGTCTCATAATGATTATAGTAAAGGTTAATTACTTATTAATATTTTAATATCACATCTTTGTAAAGTTTATTGTTATTTTTTTTAGGTTTCCTTTTCTTGATATGAGAAAGAAATACATAGTTCCAAAATATAGGAATTCAACAAGTGACCACCTGAATTACTTTTTATGCTAATTAACATTTTTATTACAGACCTCAGGGGAGGAATATATTAAAGAAAAATGCAATTTCGACGAAAGAAGTATAATAATCAATCCTGTCACTACTTCTACACTATATTCATCTGCTACTGAAATACTAAAACAGCAAGTAAGTAGAGAAACTTAAGTTTCTTTCAAAATGAATGTTTAAGTACCTATTTGTAGAGTTTTGATTACACCGTTACAGGTACTCTAAGATTTAATCGAAACTTATTTATGGCCAGAGAACAGCAATTCTACTTCACTTTTCTCATCTTCATCGTCACTCACTGTCTATTTTAAAAATAGTTTGTAGTATGTTTGGATTACTCTATACACAAGGAATTATAATTAATAGTAATGTTAGAGTCACTGGGGTCGACGGTACCACGTCTGCCCGTTGCAGTGTCCAGGAACAGGAGAGCGGGGACTTGACGTGACCAGCCGAACGCTATGAAGTGATAGGCAATATGCCGTTAAAGACATTCTTTATTTTGTTCCTTAATTAATTACATTTCAAACAAGTTAATTCTTTTAACTTCTAACAGTAAAATATTACCTATTAAAATAAAAACATTTTAAAAAATAACATATAACATATTATAACCCGAAATTCCTGCCAGCAAATATTTGTTGTGCGCATGACACTCTGATTTTTAGAAGGACGTAAAGTTGTAACCAGAATATAATTTCTGAACGGTTTGCAACTGATTTTGGGGTGTGACGTCACTTCTTATCTAACTTTCTGAATGACTTCTGAAACGTCCAGGGTGAGGTTTCTAAACGCACTCCTGTTAATTTTACCTGCATTTCAGTGTTGCCATCCTTAAAGAAAGATTTTTCCCTCCACTTACTTTAAAAATTCCCAATTTTATGAAAAATATCCCTTCTGTTTAGGGATGGCATCTTTTCATTCCTCAAAACCCGGACCTTTTTTTCTACATCCAGGTCCTTCTGTCTAGCTTCTAAAAAAAAATAAAAATGTTCAAGAGTCCTTTTGTCCAGCTTCTAAGCTTCTAAAAATAGGGTCCAAGGTCCCCAGTCTGTATTAACCAACAAGTTATTTCTAAAAGTTATCCAAGTATTCCCGGATATTCACAGTTTGAAAAATTCCCTTTTTGAGTTAACTTTTTCTTGTTTCTGTTAAAAATTCTCGCAAAAAGAGAAATTTCCCTCCAGTTGGCAACATTGCTGCGTTTAGACCACAGAACTCTATTCGCGATTCAAATTAATGTTCGGGCGCCTCTCATTTGTTACCTATAAGTAGGATGTTTGTTCATTTACATGTGTTTGTTTTGGGTGGTATTTCGTGTTTGTGATTTTTTAACTGTTTTTAGATAATATTCTCATTATGATAGTGCTTTCGTCATAAATATAATATTTATCATATGTATGACTTAATTTGTTGGAAATATTCACCTATTGGTTGCTACAAGAACATCTAGAAATATGTATTTACTAAACCCAGGACATGTTTTATTATGTGGTTTAAAGGACATTTCAGGTACCAAACGTTTGTTATTGATGAACTTATTTAAACATCTTACTATGTATTCTTATATTATGAAGTGAATTGTGTAGTAATTTGTATTCATGTAAATGGTAAATGGTAATACAACAGTCACAAATCAAATTACAGTTTGAATCTAAACAAAGTTTTGCAAAATTTCAATATTGTGAATTTGTAGATATCCATTTATCATAAGAAACAAAATTTTACGATTTACGCTTGGAAAATAATGAATACTTCAGTTTTGGTTTTGACATTAACATCATATAGATTGCAATTTGCTGGGGACCTTTTCGCAGATTTCATTTTTAATGTAAACACTATCACACACTATAAGAAATATACAAATTTAAAGCTAAAAAGAGTAAGAAAAAACTCGAATTATAATTGATACAAATTAAAAAATAAACAATGAACACGAACGCCAATGTTGCCAAATGATGAACTGATTTTAAAACAAAATTAATAAATGAACTGAAATTTAAAAAAATCAATATAATAAATCGTTTTATAAAAAACATCCTTAAATAAATATAGAGTATGATTATATATTACTAGACACAAATTTTGATTCTTAAAAAAAGGTCTTATCCACTTCTTTAAGGGCTTAAATCCGACGACGAGCGAAATTTCGCTACATCTGGCAACACTGATCGATATCCTACTTATAGAGACCTTCTATAAATTTCTTCCAGAGGGCGTATCACTTAGTTTGAATCGCGAATACCGTTACACGGTTCAGTGGTTCACACCCAACACCCTAACATAAATCTTCATTTCATCCTAAAATTCTGCATTGACATTTTAAAACATGAACTTTTGTAAACTTTTCAACTGGCCTAATAAGGTCACTTTGTGCAGATAAATTTTCTTTGATGGTAATTTAAATAATTATTTATACACATCTGTACGCATCCCCTCCTGTTAGCCAATCTATCCCACAATACATTTTCTTGAAGTTTAGTTATTTATATTCAAACCTTGAAAATCAATGCACTAGAATGAGTAATAATTACTTTAAACAAACACACAAGTGCATTTGTGCTATTTTGGTATTGTATTTTCTAGGCGTATTAGGTAAGTTTTATTACTATTAATATTATAATTACATTAAGGGCAAAGAACAAACAACAACATGAAAAACATATGGTTAAAACAATTAAGTCTAGAAATAAATCTAAATGGCTTCAAATTTAAAAATTAAAATGTAATATATTGTTTTTATAAATGTTGATACTTTCGGAGTCTTTAATTTCTTGTGACAGATTATTCCAGACCAGTGGCGGCTTGTGGTAATTTAAAATGGGTATTCACTTTTTCCAATAATTTTATCATTTGTAACTTCGGTTTGAAACTTTGTGCCAATATTGCTGTTTTTTTATTATTTGAGTTTGTGTTAAGTGTAGTTATTATTATCAACATCATACTGTTTTCAAGCACTACAACTATTAATAAATAAATATTTTAGTTAATGTAACATTTGTTCTGCTTTTAATACATTGAAAATCATCTATAAATATTATTAGTTAGTAAACTGACTTTTCTTCATAATTTGAAATTATTTTTAAATATGTATCAGGTTATGCAGAAAGCTTGACATTGATTTTTGTGTAAAAAATATATGAAACTTTATATAGGCTTTATCTTCTTATAAAGCTTCATTTTTACTCAAAATTTCATATTGATATTGCTTTTCGTTTTTAATTTAGGATTTTTTTTTAATTTCAACCCATCTTAACCCTCTATTTTTAATCAGATTTGTTGTTAAAAATCAATAGGCTTGGTCCCCTTATAGAGCCTCAATGAGTAAAACCAAATTTGGTAAATTTTCACAAAACTTTTATTTAAAAAAAATAAAAATTAAAAAATTAAAAACTACACATGACATGTTTCGAAGTACAACTTCTTTTTCAAATGTGACTAATTTACAATTCGGTGTCCAATATATATGCGAAGTAATTTAATCAAACAAAGTAATTAAGAAAATACATCAATAACATAACAAAATAAACTGATTATTTAAATATCGAATTGATCATTTAGTAGGTTATCTGAATTTTTAAATCTATTTATTTGAAGTGTTTCTAAATGGTTTAGTTTAATGCCCTTATTTTCTATATGTAAAATTTCAAAGTTGTCTGTAAAAGAATGATTTTTCAGCCAAAATATGATTTTAGTAAATAGAATTATTTTTGTTTTTTGTATAGCTATTATAATGTTCGGAATAGCGTTTTTTAAAAGTACAATTTTGGACAACTACTACAATTTAATTTATATACCCCCTATTTATTTTAATTTTATTCTTATTGTTTTTAATATACTTCCCAAGCGTATTATTGGTTTTGAAAGTTACGTTAATATTTTGGTTTTTAAATATGATGATACCTTTTCACTAGGAGCTCCTATATATGTAAGAGTCTTATATCTGCAATTTTGATCTTTAATTATGGGATAAACTTGTTGAATAGCATATTTAAAAGTTTTTTTCCTAAAATGTTGTCTACTAACTTTGAATTAAAATTATTGTTTACTGCGATTTGTTTAATGATATTTAATTCTTTTGTGAAGTTCTCTTTGGTAAGGGGATATTAACTAATCTATGCATCATACTGTTGTATGCTGCCAGCTTTTGTTTATATGGATGAGATGAACTATTATTTATTGTAATATCAGTATATGATGGCTTATGAAATATCCCAAAACTATGGCCTTTATTAATTTTAATAATATTTAAGTCTAAAAAATTAATTGAATTATCCTTCTCTGTTTCCATAGTAAATTTAATATTAGGGTGTAGAGTATTGATAAAAAGTAATAAAGAATTTAACTGTCTACTAGTACCAGTAAAAGCAGTCAGTATCAACATATCTATGCCAATAAAGAAAATATTTACTTAAATTATTGCTATGAATTTTGTGTTCAATATCTATATACAGTGAGCATCATAAGTCGTAACATCTAACTCGTTACTGAAGTCTTGTTAGGAAAATCGCTGAGACACGTCGATTTTTGATTTCTACAATGTACATTTTTGTATGAACAGTTTACCCTTATTTTCATCCCTTACTGAAGGGGAGCAATTTAAATGGCACGGGGTGGTGAGTGATAGCTCGTTTGAAAGGGGGTTTTAATCTCTATTCAATCATGCAAAAAAAATTTTAAATTTACTTCATTACGGCATACTTAAATTTGATCCAACGGATAAATATCAAAAAGAACTAAAACGTAATATTCAGGATTCAACAGCAATTTTTGATTCTAGAGAAAAATTCAAACTAATACAAATGAACCCTCAACCACCACAACTTTATTCTTTAATAAAATTACACAAAGTGAACTATCCTATTAGACCAGTTGTGTCATTTGTCACGGCTCCATCAGTTAAACTTTCACATATATTAATTAAACTTATACAAGAAAACTGCAAATTTCATTCAAAGTACAGTATAAAAAATTCTTATGAATTAACAGAAAAATTAAAAAACATTCTATTACCTAGTAACACAAAATTAGTATCATTCGATGTAACAAACTTATTTTCTAGTATACCTCCTAAAGAAACAGTTAAAGTAGTAGAAAACTTATTAGATCGTAATCAAGTTAATTTTATAATCAAAATAGAAATCCTAAATTTGTTAAACATTTGCCTGAAACAAAATTATTTTCAATTTCAAAATAACATCTACTCAGCAAATGAAGGTCTTATTATGGGGAATCCATTCAGCCTGTTGCTTGCAGAAATATTTATGAATAATGTAGAACATACTTTTTTTTATGGTATTTATTTTAGCCAAAGCGTCTGTAACTACTGTCCCACGTGATAAAGTTTACTAATTCCAGTATACCACACCAATAATGGCAAATAAATAATATAAAAAGACAATATATAAAAACACACAAAACCACGAAAAAGTAATGACAATGTCTATAGACAGACGCTAAAAATATTATAGGATGGCTGTCCCGAGAAGAAGGCAGCCAGAGGAAGAACACGACTCGATACGCTTGCGCGGGAATATGCAATCAGCCAATGGCAATGACGAATGATGAATGACGATCATACATGCGCCAAGAACGGTGTCGTGGCGCCATATTTAAATATAGCGAAAAGAGTAGAAAGTCCACATTACCGAGATATTTAAAACGTCCTAAAAACATCCCAATAAAGACGTTTTAAACATGTACTGTCTTAAAACCGTCCGTTTTACGTACCAGGATGTTTGGACGAAAGTAAGACATGAACTGGACGGCTTTAAGATGTAGTGTGCTATCTGGGTATTATTAAATTAGGCTAGTAAGAAAAATTATACATAAATGAAGATAAATTTATTACTGACCCTTAAACAACTCTTTTTTATATCTTTTAAGTTTTTGTTTAAGAATTTTGATTTATCTTGTTTTTTCTTGATTCTTTTCTACCTGTTGTAAAAGTTATCTACTAAGCCGTTTCATGTTAGGGCTTTCTAGGATAGATTCCTTATTTGCAGTTTTATTTGAAGGGCCTAGCCCGCTTCCAAATGCAATGCTCTTCTTTTTAAGTCCTACAAACAATCAATTATTACAGTAATGTTTTGAATTATATACAAAAGGGTTGTCAAATTCTTAAAAGTGCATAACATAATAATGAAAAGTAATAAAAAAAATATATATGTTTAATTATGTTTATTAGTATACGCACATTCTTCGGCTGCATGTATTTAGGGTATTCAGGAAATATAGTGGAAACTGCTCCATTTAGTAAACATTTTTTACAGTCCGTCTCATAAAAAAAAATGTTTTGAACATAATCTATCATTTGGCGTAGTTATCCAATTTGCAATTTTCGTTGCATGTAGAATTTTTTTTGCTGGATTCACAGGAAATCTAAAATAAAACAACAAATAAACATTGCTGCAATTAAATGAAAAGCAAAAGTAAATTAGAAATTAATAAATTTAGAATTGTACGATACCAAAATATCAATGAGAAGCATAAAATAAACAAACTTGTTGGGTAAAATTTATTATTCTGGAGACAGGTACAATATGTAAAGTAAATACTAAGTTGTATAACACCAAATAAAATGAAACATAAGAAAATATTTAAAGTAAAAGCGATTGATGTTTTTCATTTACCCGTGAAACGTAATATCTGCTTCTTTCTTGCCTGTATAACTTTTACACTGATATTTCACACAATAAACCATTGTAATAAACCAATTATTTATTAAATGTCGTTTAATTAAAAAATCAAAAATAAACACGAACAAATACATTGGTGTCACCGAAATGCTAAGCACCAAAATAATGGCGGCCAATAGATAATTGGCACATATTACTACGTGTGTTCGATATACTTGTTACGCGTCCTCTCTTTATTACCTAGTCTAAGCGCCCATCGTATTGGGGATCAAAATTTTCACGATACGGTATCTAGACTTTTTAAAAGCTATGGATTTATGTCATCCAGTTTAAAGTCAAGGTTGGTGAAAGAAATGGATGAAAAATCGCCTCGACACGATGGACACGATAACCTTATTTATTCGGCAACACCAGTGACAGAAAGTGTTATTGTAAGGAATTTTTGTTAATCAAAATATGTCATAAGTGTTTTATTGAATTTTTTCTAGTTATTGTAGGATATCAGTTTTAAAAAAGAATTGAAATTCCTGTAAACGTTTATTTCTAATGACACTCCTACTAAAGTCACTTCCTACATTTCTTACAAGATTTTCTATGGATCTTGGTAATTTTAAATATGCATATGATATGGTTAAGTGTGCCATATGACATGAGCATTGTAACGCATAAAATGTTAGGAATTTCGTAATTTAAAAAGACAAAAACTGAGTGATAATTACCAGCCATTACGATGGTAGTATCTGATGAAAATTAAATTAAAAATATTATCCATCAAAGTTTTTTTTTTAAGTATTGAATAACTCGTTGGTTTTACCTGCCTCAGCCTCAACAATATTAAAAAAACTTGTCACAGTACTATAATTAATAAAGTCATAATAAATAATGGCAAAAATGCACTAGTTTTTTGTAGAAATGTCTGTTGTTCCGTCCATTATTAAAAAAATAAGCATCCTTGCT